ATTCAATATTTTATCATCATCATCATCGTCATCATCATAATCTTGTAAAAATGATAATTTTGTTTTTGGCCATTTTTAATGATCAAATGTTTCAAATTTCTCTCTTGTGAACGGAAAACTCTTATTCATTATTCTATTCGGGTTTTTTTCTGACATTTTTTTTCTTTCTCCTTTCCACGGTTGACAAGTTAGATGAAAAAAACCAAAAAAAAAGAAAAAACTTTTTATAATAACCGCACACACACATACACACAATCAACTATCCAGGAAAAATGACAATAAAATTCGATTACAACTATCGAACTAAACGAAATTCTGAGTTTTTTTTTCTCTGGCATGCACAAAGAAAAGCTAAAAAAAGAGTGTGAGGAAAAAAAAGTTTCATAACAACAACAACAACAACAACAACAACAAACAGAAGCCGTCAAAGTTTCAAAGGAAACTTAAACCAACCAACCAACCGACCAACCAATACCAACATACATACACACACGTACACCCACTCACTGAACATTATAGATTGTGATTTATTCAAACAAACATTTTTGATCAACGAAATTTTTTTTTTTTTTTTTTTTTTGAAATGAGAGTCGTTCAAATTTTGTCAACAGACCAACCAATCGGCTAAAGCCAAACTAAAGTCCGATCGAATTGCACCTTATTATAAAATGAAGAAGTAGAAGGAGAAAAAGAATCTGCATTCAAGATGAAGAATAATGTAATATATTCTTACCGCATATACATACGCACATCATCATTATCATGCAATATCATCATAGAATTTTTCCATCATTTTTTTGTGCTTATTGGACAAGTTCATTTTGTTGTTTGCCACCACTATAGTTTTGAATATTATTTTCCAAACGAAACGAAATATATAAATCCATGATGATGATGATGATGATGCATCATTTTTATATAATTCGTTTTTTTTCTCTCCCGACTTTCTATACACTTTATATGTTTATCGGACATAATAATAAGTGGACAACATGAAAAAAAAATTGACAAAATTCGACTGGACAAGCCAAAAGTTTTTTTTTCGTTTTGTTTCCATTTTTTTTTTTTTTTTTTATTCTCGTAGAATCGCCTGGATTTAGAGAGATTGGTATTTTTTTTGGCCATTTCATATTCTACACATATTCATATTGGATGAATTTTCATTTTCATAATCATTATTCCATTAAATGATCATCATTTTGTTGCATTATAAAAAAAAAGTTTTTTTTTTAAAAAGACAAAAAAAAAATTGAAATGAAATGAAATGTGAATAGCCAGCCATAACGATTGAACGATGGCGATAATCCGTCCATTGCATCATCATGATGATGATGATGATGAATGTACGCATCAATTTTTTTTTCATTTTGTAGCAAAGAAACAAAAAAAAGCTGTGAAAATTATAGAAACAAAAAAAAACAAAATTTGTTTCAATCGTTCAACCACTGGCCACTACCGCCAAACATCTTATGGTGAATAAATGACGAAAAAAAAAGTGGAAACAAAAAAAAACGTGACGATCATAATAAGCAAATAAATAATTTATCATCCAAAAGATAAACATCGATGAGAAATGAGGGTAGAATGAGAAAAAAAAACAGGACCAAACCAAGTTCCAAAGTGGTGGATGGAAACCAAAGAGAAAATGGACGAATGAAAAATCTTGAAGGAAAAAAAACAACGAAAAATAGCAAAAAAAAACATTGAAAACAAACAAGAATAATAATGACAAGCGTCATGATCATCATCATCATCGTTGTTCCGATGAATGACTGATGAAAGTATCGATTGTTTTTCAATGTGTGTGTGTGTGTGTTTTGAAACTTTTTATTTTGTTTTGTTGTTTTTTGAAAAATTCTTGTTTTTTTATTGTTTTTTAATTGTTGTTGTTGTTGTTTTACTAGAATTTTTTTCTTCTGGTAACCAGAATTTGATTTTGCAAAAGAAGTTTTTTCCGGAAATAATATTCAACACATTTGGTGTAACAAAGATGAAAAAATTTTGGAAAAAGTTTTTCGATCCAATTTGATCCATGTGTTTTGGATTTTATTTGACTTTTTAAAAATTGATTGATTGAACTGGATTGAATTGGTAAAATTGGAAATCCTTTGTTGCCACCAATACATACCACTGTCACTGTGTGTAAGTTCGAATGTCAAAGTTTCCGGATTTTTTCGTTTTGTTTTGTTCGATGAACCATAAATTCCAATATATTGACAATCGAATTGAAATGACATGGATGAATGAAATGCAATACAATGGAAAAATCTGAAAAAATCTGAAAAAAAACAGAAACCGAAACAGAAAACAAGCGGAAAAAATGTCATTTTCTTTTCAAATAATCACCAGAAACAACAACCGAAACAAAATTTGAATTTATGATCCGGTGAAAGCAAAAAAATAAAAACCGGTTTTCACCGACACAAAAAAAAGAAGAAGAGAAGAAACAAAAAAAATTCATCTCGATCATTAACCGATTATTGTTACCCCGTGTACTTAATAGAAATGAAAACCATCTAATGGTGTATGATGATGATGAAATCCCAAGCGAATTTACCCGAACAACCAAAAACCATCATATTGTGATTCAGGTTTTTTTCCAAACCAAAAAAAATAAAATTTACCGTCGTCATTAAATGAACAAATTTTGTTTCATTCTTCATAATTGCTATTATACGTGCATGTTATTCTGGTGAAATTTTCCGGTTAAAAACTGAAATTATTCCTCACCTCCCCTCCCCCTCCCACAAAAAACGACAGAGAATTATTCATATTTACTTTATATCAATTGGCCATTTATTCTATCTGTCTGCCTGTCTGTGTAATGTAATGTAATGTAACAAATTAAAAATAATTAATTTAATCAAACGAAAGCAAAAAAAAATTCTGAAATTCGACACATACAGAAAATAGGAAAATGTCATTTTAAATGTCAATCCAAGGACGGAATGCGTGTGTGTGAGTGTGTGTGTGTGGGAATCAGTACGGCATTCTTAATGATTTCTGATGTACCGAAAAAAAACAAGCAACAAAACGAGAAAAAATTTTTTTTTATTAATTTTCATTCCTATTGTGTGTGTATAGAATAATATCAAATTCCAAACCGATTTGGTCATACATAGATTTCGAAATTCTCTGTAGAAATCTGAGATCATCATCATTATCATTACAATTTAGTTTGTCCAACAAAAAAAAAAAAGATACGATGCACCAAATAATCAAAGATTGAAATTTGACCATAAATGATGATGATTGTGTGTGTGTGTGTGCGTCTATGAAGAAACTTTTCCAAATTCCGATTCGTCGATTGAAATTTTAATGTTTCAATTCTTTTAAATCAAAAAAAAAAAAAAAAATTCAATGATTGAAAGACGACAACAATTTATTATCTTTTAATTTTGAAAATTTTTTTTCACTTTTCTTCACATTCTTTTTCAATCATCATCATCATCATTAATGTAAGAAATTTATCAAATTTCATAACTTCAAACAGACAAAAATCGATCAAACGAATCATGAAGACAGTGAGAAAGGAAAAAAAATGTAAATGATTAAGATGTTTTTCCCCCCCCCATTCGAAAAGTTTCTTGTGATGATGAGAAAAAAAATCAATTCTGTTTAATTTCAATTCTGGCAATTTTTTTTTAAAAAATTCTACAAACTTGACAAAAATTTTCAAAAAGTTTGCAAGAATTTTCAAACCACCACTAAAATCGTGGACAAGATTAGATAAAGCAAAAAAAAACAACCTAAATCGATACCAATTCGGATCCAAAAAAATGGCTTCTATGGAAATGTCAAAATAGTCCAGAATTATTATTATGATGATGATGATTATTATGTCTTTTTTTCTGTTTTGGCAAAAAAAATCGTTCCTAATTGATCCATTAAGGCCAATTCCAAAACCTGAATTTTCGATGATGATGATCATGATCATGATCATCCCCTCCTCTCCAAATGGATAAAGAATCCAGAATCACAATGTTGTTGTTGTTTAAGATTCTCCAGAATCAATGGGAAAAAAAATAAATTTTTTTTGCTTACCGTTTATATTTTTTGAGAGAGACAAATGTTTTATGTTTCTTAAAGATTTTCAGTCATCTTTAAAGATGGAAAATCCCCTCTGCATGATTGTGTCTCTGAGGAAAACTGTTTGTTGTTTGCTTGTTTGTTAGCCACCACCACCACCACTACCATCATCATCATCATTTTATAACCGGAATTCTAACTACGATACCGGATGGATGGATGGATGGATGGAACGGACGGCAAAGTATATCTTTTTCTCATCACCATTTTGCAGCAAAAAAAAGCATTTTCGGTTTTTTTTGTTTTCATTTGTTTGTTTGTTTTTTTTGAAGAATAAAAAAAACGATGCTTTTAAAATTCCATTGAGAATTCATTATTATTGTGTGTGTGTGTTCAGTTTATTTTTTCCATGACTTTTCTAGATTCTAGATTCGTTTTCTTTAGCTGTCCAAAATGTCCAATTGTTTTCCATGTGTGTATGTGTGTGTGTGTGTGGAACTAATTAACGTCTAGTTTCTTATCCTAGATAAGAGAGGTGTGTGTGTGTGACAGGAAAGATTCTTGTATCTTTATTCATTTTTTTTTTCGTTTATTATCCGTTTTCTGAATTTAAATTTGTTTTTTTTCTGTTTGAAAACATTTATCCATCCTGGATGTGTGATTATTATATGCGTTGATTGTTACCAACAACAACGACAACAACAACAAAAAAAATTGAATCGAATTGAATTAATGACGCACAAACAAACAAAATCTTGAATCATACGTTGTATATGGATAGAACTTCATGGCCATCGTTTTTCTTTTCGGCCATCCATTCATTCATTCATTTATTATTTTTGTTTCCCCATTTTGTTGGCTATTTGTATTTTTGGTGTTTACTTGGTTTGATCACAGATTTAGTATTCCATACACGAATCGTATACGAGTTTCACATTAGATGAGGAACAAAAAAAAAATTTTTTATTTAACCCATTCACGACCACCATAGACAGAAAAAAGGTCTCAAAATAGACCAACTTTTTTTATTGCATAATTTTTTGTTATTGGCTTCACCTATTTCATTGTTACATTTTTTTTCATCCAAACTGATTTACTTCTTGTTATTTTCCTCCCGGCTCATATGTGAGCCACTGGTCTATGGATAGCTCTTTGACAAAATAGACCAGATGGCTCACATATGAGCCGGAATCTTTTTTTTACAAAAACACGTAAAAAACTGAAAAATGAACGAGAATTTTATTTTTGTGGGATAAATTATGTTATTATTAAAAAAATTAGATTATATTTGGTTATGAAGATATTGATGGAAACAAGTTGGACAGAGTCCGATAGTTTTGTTTGAACTGCTACAACCATTACAAATATAAGATGTTAATTTACGCTTTCTATTTTTTGAACAGTTGCGACAGCGTACACGTTTACTGATTTTTTTTAAATAATGTGAAGCAAACATGTTATCATTGCTTGTATTTTGATTGGATTCGAGTAAAGATTTAGTCAGTTCATCTCTAAAATTAAGATATGAGATTTTTTTACCAGTGACTTTTTTAAATATGATCATGCTATTCCAAATACACATGTCAAATAAATGGAAAAACAATTTGATGTACCATCTAACTGTTTTTCGTGGTGTTGAATAATAAGACATCATTTGATCTGCTCTATCAACACCGGCCATGAATTGATTATAATCAATAATGATGTTTGGTTTCATGGATTCAATGCCACGGCTATTTTTCCAATTCACCATTTTGAATTCATGATATGTGGAAATCATACAAACTTCCCGTTTGTCCTTCCATTTGCCGACAACAACATTTCCTTTGCGTTTCCAGACTGATTCACCTTTTGCAAGTTTTTTATTGATCACTTCCTTTGGGTTGAATTTTCTGTTCTTCCGCAAAGTGCCTACAATATGAGTCTTTTGTTGCAGTAGTGATTCAGCCAAATTTACACTTGTATAAAAATTATCAATATAAACGACATGACCTTTATTTAAATATGGATCCATTAATTTTTGAACCACACCATGTGCATGACTCGAACTTTGATTGTATACTGTTCCTTTTCCTTCGTAGATTAATATGTTCAAAATGAAACCGTTTGGTGTTGATAATTCATACAATTTGATTCCGTACTTTGCAGCTTTGTTTGGAATATATTGGCGGAAAAATAATCGTCCACGCCAAAGAAGCAATGCTTCATCCAATGATAAATTCCGGCCTGGAGAATATATTTCTTGGATGTTAGTCACAATATGTTCAACAACATTTTTGATTTTATGTAATCTGTTGGATGTATCATCGGTATTATCATAAAATGATAAACAACGTAGTATTGCTTCAAATCGATTGCGGCTGATAAATCTGCCGAAAAACGGATGATTATATATAAAGTTAGTGGCCCAATAATGTCTCAAAGATGGCATTTTGACATTTCCCATGACGATACACACTCCTAAGAATTTCTTCATCTCTTGAGCGTCAGTGTCTTTCCACATACGCATAGTTGATTGTCGGCTTGTACGACTTGAACGAAGAATTTTAGCTTTGTGATTCGTCCATTTGACAATTTTTCTACCAAAAAATTATCAAAAAAATTAATGAAAATGCTTCGAATGGTGCAATATTTGATGGCCAATTTTGTTTTACACCTTCACATCCATTGAAATCAAATATTTCGGGTATTTTTTCAACGTCCAACCAATCGTCATTTGCATCTTCATCTTCATTTGTTGATTCATCTATTTCGGTAGATTCTCCATCACTTTCTGTCATATTACTTTCTTCCAAATCTGAAGACATAGATGATTCACAGGATTCATTTTCAGAGTTGATACCAGTTGATTCATCACTAGATATTTCATCGATATTTTGTTCAATTTCAAATATTTGGAAAGATTTTTTTGATTCTGGCGCTGTTCTTTTACTTTTACCACTTCTTAAATACATTTTCACGTTTAAATTTGATCAATATTAGTGATGTAAATTGTAATATTTGAATTGAAAGTTGTTTCATAAAATGACACTTGTTACAAAGGTAATTCAAACATCCAAAGATTCGAATCATTCAAATTCGAATTTTTTTATTATCCTTCTATTTGAGAATGCGCATAATTCATATATATAATTTGAATGAATGAATCCAAAAGCCTGAATAACTGTCTGATTAAGATGAAAAAATTTTGAATTTTGCAAATCAAGAGTATAATCAGACAATAATAATCAAAATAAAAAAACAAAACAAAAAAAATACAATTGACATGAATATAAAAAAAACTTTATTTTACATGTAATTATTAATGGCATTATAATAAAAGAAAAAAGATGAATTTTTGCGATATTGGTCAAATTTTTGATTTTAAAACCAATCATATTTTCAGTAAACATTCTTTGAGAAATAAATCTCTAATTTCCAAATATAAGGTGATCTGAGTTCTCCATCCATGTCGTCGATAAATTGATAACTAGTGTTTATCTGTACATAATCGTCGAAGATCAACACAAATCACCAGAACAATTTATCTTTTACATTTAGATTATCGCATACTTTATCGTTTGGCAAATTAATATTCTATAAATTCATTTTAAAGACCATTCCATGATAGTCAACAACTGACTTATGATATGTCTGTATTTGACATGACCTTGTCTCAAAAACACTTTTCTGATCCAGAGACCAGTTGGCCCAGATATTAATCAAGCATTCTTCTTCAAATGCACAAAGTATGAAACATCTCGGAATAAAACTGAAAAAGTTATAGCCAAACAAAAAAAGGATATGCTTGTGGCTCATATATGAGCCGCTGGTCTATTGTGGAAAATTTGAGTGGCACACATATGTGACGCTTGGTCGTGAATGGGTTAATAATGCTCGAAACCTTCATCATCATCATCTTCATTTGTGTGTACAGATCCTAATGGATAAAATTTTTGTTCTACATTGCATACATCTCTTGTTTTCGCGTTGTTTGGGTAAAAATAAAAAACTGGTTGAATTAATTGATCAAAAATGGTTACAGAAACATGGTGTGTGAAACAGGGTCCTATATGGGGGAAAAAAATGGAAAATTTTTCTGGTTTTTTTTCTCTGAAATTAATTTCCCGGATTTCTCTATCTCTCTCTCTCCCCATGACAATCACCATCATCATCACCACCACCATGATGATGAAGTTTATTTGTGACAATCATTCTGGTGGTTATTTTTGTTTTCTTGGTTGAATTTAATTTTCATTCGAAAAATAAATATGAAAAAAAATGGAAACAAAACAAATTTGCAATTCTGAATACGTGAATTCAGAATGTATTCCAATAGAATGGATAGATTCAATTATAAAATCTTTTTCTATTTCCTTTAGTAGCAGCAGTAGACATGTTTCATATTTCAAAACTTATAACAAAAAAAAAGCAGAATACAACAAAAAAAACAATTCAATTTACATTTGCAAATTTATTCGTCACACAGCGCTAATTCTCTTTCCATACTTCATCTTAAATTGAATGGTATGGCATGGTAATGACAATTATCATAAATGAAGTTGTCATCACCATCAATTTGTAATTATTATTATCAAATGAAAAATGGGAAATTTCCCGGCAATTTTTTTCCAAAAGAAACTTTTTTTTTGGACAACCAAGAAACAGGCTATTTTATTTTTTTTGGATAGAAGCCAACACACACACATTCACTGACCAAATAAGATTATATACCCTCAAGATATAATGTCAGTCATCGTTGATCAGTGGAAATAAAAATGAATTGAACAGAAATTATTGGATTTCATTTTCTTATTGTGATCTTATGAAATTTCTGGTCTGCCTTTTCATTTTCATTCGCTTTCACTTTCACTTTCACTTTGTCCAAAGAAAATGGTTCAATTTTTATTCTGTGGGTCCCATTTTCATTCAAAATTCTAGAATCCAACAACAACAACGACAACAGCAACATTAAACAAGAATAAAATGCAATGAAAATAACAAACGTGAGAAAGAATTGAAATAGTAAAAAAAAAAATAGTCGGTAAAATTATTTGGAAAACTTTTTTTTCTATTTGTTTGTTTGTTTGTCCTATTTCTACTGAAGAATCTTTAAAAGTTTTTTTCTTCTGGTCCCGTTGTATGACCATTTTCTTTAGGCTTAATATCTATATGTTTTTTCTCTCTGTGTGTGTGTATGTGTGTTACATATGGGTTACAAGTTTGTTTTTTATTTTATATTTGTCGTTTTTGTTTTTTTTTTGTTAATGTTTCAAATGTTTATTACAATACAGTATTCGGGCAATGTAGTTCATGAAGATAATAAAAAAAAAATATCATCATCATACTGGTCATAAATCACGAAGAAATTCTTTACTATAGTAATCACAGCATAAGATGATTATAATCTTTATGGTCTTTATATGAGCTTAAATATATACAGAACAATGGGAAAAAAATTTTTTTTTTGTAGAGAAATTTTCCCGGAAAAAACATTGATAAATAGTTGCGGGAAACTTTTTCTCATATAATGAAAATTTTTTTTTATCTCTCACTAATTTTAACTTGACTGAATGAATGGATTAAAATTTGAATTTCTGGAAATGCAAATCTCAAATCGTAATGTACACTATATGGAATCCATCTTATGGGCAAATTCTTGAGAAAGAAAAAAGCCAGAGAGATAGAGGGAGAAAAATTCCTGTGAAATTCATCAGTAATGGACCACCAGAATGAAATGGATTCTCTCTCTCTCTCTCTCTCTCTCTCTCTCTCTCTCTCTCTCTCTCTCTCTCTCTCTCTCTCTCTCTCTCTCTCTCTCTCTCTCTCTCTCTCTCTCTGTGTGTGTGTATGCCAATCACAAACGTTTGATGACTTAATTTTACTAATGACTTTTTTTCTCTACTCATCATTGGAATTCAATGGATAAATGAATCAAGAAATTGTATAATTTGATGGATTTTTTCCCACCCCAGTGTTTGTTTGTTACATTTTTTTTCTGTAAAAATCAAACTGTGAAAGTGTAACATAGATTATGTAAATTTCAATAGGATAAAGAAAAAAAGTTTCACTTTTTTCTTTGATTCATCTTTTGTAGGCAAAGAAAAAAAATTTGTTTCATTTTCATTATCGATCGTTATTGAATGGATGATTCTATATTCACATTATTCTTGTTTTGTGTTTGAATGAATTTTAAGAAACTTTTCCGGGTGACATAAAAATAAATCGACTTTTAATTTTTTTTTTTTTTGAAAATTTCCGAAAAATAAAATCTCAGAATCCCTAATGGATAAAATTTTTGTTCTACATTGCATACATCTCTTGTTTTCGCGTTGTTTGGGTAAAAATAAAAAACTGGTTGAATTAATTGATCAAAAATGGTTACAGAAACATGGTGTGTGAAACAGGGTCCTATATGGGGGAAAAAAATGGAAAATTTTTCTGGTTTTTTTTCTCTGAAATTAATTTCCCGGATTTCTCTATCTCTCTCTCTCCCCATGACAATCACCATCATCATCACCACCACCATGATGATGAAGTTTATTTGTGACAATCATTCTGGTGGTTATTTTTGTTTTCTTGGTTGAATTTAATTTTCATTCGAAAAATAAATATGAAAAAAAATGGAAACAAAACAAATTTGCAATTCTGAATACGTGAATTCAGAATGTATTCCAATAGAATGGATAGATTCAATTATAAAATCTTTTTCTATTTCCTTTAGTAGCAGCAGTAGACATGTTTCATATTTCAAAACTTATAACAAAAAAAAAGCAGAATACAACAAAAAAAACAATTCAATTTACATTTGCAAATTTATTCGTCACACAGCGCTAATTCTCTTTCTATACTTCATCTTAAATTGAATGGTATGGCATGGTAATGACAATTATCATAAATGAAGTTGTCATCACCATCAATTTGTCATTATTATTATCAAATGAAAAATGGGAAATTTCCCGGCAATTTTTTTCCAAAAGAAACTTTTTTTTTTGGACAACCAAGAAACAGGCTATTTTATTTTTTGGATAGAAGCCAACACACACACACACACACACATTCACTGACCAAATAAGATTGTATACCCTCAAGATATTATGTCAGTCATGGTTGATCAGTGGAAATAAAAATGAATTGAACAGAAATTATTGGATTTCATTTTCTTATTGTGATCTTATGAAATTTCTGGCCTGCCTTTTTATTTTCATTCGCTTTCACTTTCAATTTCACTTTGTCCAAAGAAAATGGTTCAATTTTTATTCTGTGGGTCCCATTTTCATTCAAAATTCTAGGATCCAACAACAACAACAACATTGACAACAACAACAGCAACATTAAACAAGAATAAAATGCAATGAAAATAACAAACGTGAGAAAGAATTGAAATAGTAAAAAAAATAGTCGGTAAAATTATTTGGAAAACTTTTTTTTTCTGTTTGTTTGTTTGTTTGTCCTATTTCTACTGAAGAATCTTTAAAAGTTTTTTTCTTCTGGTTCTGTCCCGTTGTATGACCATTTTCTTTAGGCTTAATATCTATATGTTTTTTCTCTCTCTGTGTGTGTGTATGTGTGTTACATATGGGTTACAA